ACATGTAGACTTCCACTTAGACCAGCACCATTTGTTGAAGATGCTATCTTTTTTCCATTGAATGGATTTGGCATCTTTGTCAAAAATCAGGTGTCCGTAAGAGTGTGGATTTATGTGAGGGTCTTCTATTCGATTCCATTGATCCACCAGTCTGTGTCTATGCCAGTACCATGCACTTTTTAGTATTGTTGCTCTATAGTACAGCTTGAGATCAGGAATGGAGATACCTCCTGAAGATCTTTTACTGTAGAGGATTGTTTTAGCAATTCTGGGTTTCTTGTTGTTCCATATGAAGGTGAGAATTTTTCTTTCCAGGTCTGTAAAGAATTGTGTTGGTAATTTGATGGGAATTGCATTGAATCTGTAGGTTGCTTTTGGTAAGATGGCCATTTTTACTATATTAATCCTGCCAAGCCATGAGCATGGGAGATCTTTCCATCTTCTCATATCTTCCTCTAATTCTTTCTTCAGAGACAGGAAATTTTTTTCATACAAGTCTTTGACTTGCTTGGTTAGGTTCACACCAAGGTACTTTATGTCCTTTGTGGCTATTGTGAAGGGTGTTGTTTCCCTAATTTCTCTCTCAGCCCTTTTGTCTTTTGTATACAGGAAGGCTACTGATTTTTTTTTTGAGTTAATTTTGTATCCAGCCACTTTGCTGAAGGTGTTAATCAGCTGTAGGAATTCCCTGGTAGAATTTTGGGGGTCACTCAGGTATACTATCATATCATCTGCAAACAGTGATACTTTGACTTCTTCCTTTCCAATTTGTATCCCCTTGATCTCCTTCAATTGTCTTATTACTCTAGCTAGGACTTCAAGAACAATGTTGAAGAGATATGGAGAGAGTGGACAGCCTTGCCTTGTCCCTGATTTCAGTGGGAATGATTTAAGTTTCTCTCCATTGACTTTGGTGTTGGTTATAGGCTTGCTGTATATCGCCTTTACTATGTTCAGGTATGTGCCTTGTATCCCTGATGTCTCTAATACTTTAAACATGAATGGATGTTAGATTTTGTCAAATGCTTTTACAGAATCTAAGCAGATTATCATGTGGTTTTTTTCTTTCAGTTTGTTAATGTGGTGGTTCACATTGATGGATTTCCATATATTGAACCACCCCTGCATGTCTGGGAGGAAGCCTACTTGGTAGTAGTGGATGATATCTTTGATGTGTTATTGTATTCGGTTTGCAAGTATTTTATGTATTGAGTATTTTTGCATCAATGTTCATGAAGAAGAGCCTGAAATTCTGTTTCTTTGTTGGGTCTTTGTGAGGTTTAGGTACCAAGGTGACTGTGGCTTCATAAAACGAGTTTGGTAGTGTTCCTTCTGTTTCTATCTTGTGGAATAGTTTGAAGACTATTGGTGTTAACTCTTCTTTGAAGGTCTGGTAGAATTCTGTGCTGAAACCATCTGGCCCTGGGCTTTTTTTGCATCGTAGACTTTTGATGACAGCTTTTATTTCCTTAGGAGAATAAGGACTATTTAATTGGTTTACCTGGTCTCGATTCACCTTTGGCATGTAGAATTGGTCAAGAAAATTGTCCATTACATTTAGATTTTCAAATTTTGTGGCATATAGACTTTGGAAGTAAGACCTAATTATTGTTTGGATTACTTCAGTGTCTGTGGTTATGTCTCTGTTTTCATTTCTGATTTTGTTGATATGGATAGTTTCTCTCTGCCTTTTAGTTAGTTTGGCTAAGGGTTTGTCTATCCTCTTGATTTTCTCAAAGAACCAGCTCTTGGTTTCATTGATTCTTGGAATTGTTTTATTTGTTTCTAATTGATTGATGTCAGCCCTGAGTTTGAATATTTCCAGTTGTCTACTCCTCTTTGGTGTGTCTGTTTCTTTTTTTTCTAGGGCTTTTAAGGGAGCCATTAAGTTGCTTGCATGAGATGTTTTGAATTTCTTTTTGAAAGCACTTAGTGCTATGAACTTTCCTCTTAGCACTGCTTTCATTGTGTCCCATGAGTTTGGGTATGTTGTGCCTTCATTTTCATTGAATTCTAGGAGATCTTTAATTTCTTTCTTTATTTCTTCTCTGACCCAGCTGTCATTTAGAAGCGAGTTGTTCAGTTTCCATATGTTTGTAACCCTTTGCCTATTTTTGTCATTGAAGTCCAATTTTAGTCCATGGTGATCGGATAGGATACAAGGGATTATTTCAATCTTCTTGTATCTGTTGAGGTTTGCTTTGTGACCAACTATATGGTCTATTTTGGAGAAGGTTCCATGAGGTGCTGAGAAGAAGGTAAATTCTTTTGTGTTTGGGTAAAAGGTTCTGTAGATGTCGGTGAGGTCCATTTGATTCATGACCTCTGTCAGAGTTATTGTTTCTTTGTTTAATTTCTGTTTTGTTGACCTGTCCTTTGTTGAGAGTGGGGTGTTGAAGTCTCCCACTATTAATGTGTTTGGGTCTATGTGTGGTTTATTAAAGTTTCTTTTACTAATGTGGGTGCCCTTGCATTTGGGGCATAGATGTTCAGGATTATCATATCTTCCTGGTGGATTTTTCCCTTGATGAGTATGAAGTGTCCTTCTCTATCTCTTTTGATTGATTTTTGTTGAAAATCTACTTTATTAGATATTAGAATGGCTACTCCTGCTTGCTTCTTGGGTCCATTTGCTTGGAAAACAGTCTTACAGCCCTTTACTCTCAGGTAATGTCTATCTTTGTGATTTAGGTGTGTTTTTTGTATGCAACAGAATGTAGGGTCTTGTTTATGCATCCATTCTGTTAGTCTGTGTCTTTTTATTGGAGAATTGAGTCTATTGATTTTGAGGGAGATTAATGACCAGTGACTTTTAGATCCTTTGATATTGATGTTGGCCATGGTAGTGTGTTTGTGTGTTTGGCTACTTTTAGTTTTGCTGTAGGGAGGTTATCTATTTCCTGTTGGGAGCTGTGACTCCAGTGGCCTCTTTTGATATTTAAATCTCGTCCGAGAGATGGCTTTTAGTAGGGCTTTATTAATGGCAGAGAAGAACTTGCAAGTCCATCTCCTTTTGTTTGTGACAGCAGGTGGGATAGCTTGTGAGGGTCACACCTCTTCCTCATGCTCCTTGTGGAAATTAACCCATTGTTCTGAGATGTTTTATTGGCTAAAAGAAACTTCTCACAAATAAAGAGGTCATAGGGCTGGAGGCAGAGGAGGAGGCAGAGATTTGAGACTTCCTGCTTGCACTGCTTGCTGTGGCAGCCTGCCTTTTGCTTTGGCTGTCGAGTCTGGACCTTTAAAAAGTTTCCTATGTGCTGTGTGTTTATTTTATTAATTTTAATCCTCACTCCCGACTCAAGAACCGTTTGACTCTGCTGTGATTTCTTGAAAGTAGTTAGTTTTCTTGGGTTGTATTTTTCCTTCTAGTATCTTCTGTAACACTGGATTTGTGTGTAGGTATTGTTGAAATTTGTTTTTGTCGTTGAATATCTTGTTTTCTCCATCTATGAGGACTGAGAGTTTTGCTGCGCACAGTAGCCTAGGCTGACATCTGTGTTCTCTTAGGGTCTGCATGATATACATCCAGGCTCTTCTGGCTTTCATAGTTTCTGTTGAGAAATCAGGTGTGATTCTGATGGGTTTGCCATTATATGTTACTTGGCCTTTTTCCCTTTAAGTTGGGAAAATTTTCTTCAATGATTTTGTTGGAAATATTTTCTGGGCCTTGGAGGAGGGAATCTTCTTTTTCCTCTCTTCCTATTATTCTTAGGTTTTGTCTTTTTATGTTGTCTTGGATTTCTTGGATGGTTTGTGTCAGGAATTTTTTAGATTTATTATTTTCTTTGACGAATACATCAATTTCTTCCATTGTATCTTCCACACCTGAGATTCTTTCTTCCATCTCTTATAGTCTATTGGTTATGTTTACCTCTGTAGTTCCTGTTTTCTTTCCTAGGTTCTCCCTCTCCATGATTTCCTCCATTTGTGTTTTCTTTAATTCTTCCAATTCTATCTTCAGATTTTGAACCATTTTGTTGATTTCTTTCACCTGTCTGACTGTATTTTCCTGTGTTTCCTTCAATTTCTTCAGCTGTTTGTTTGAACTTTCCTCTGTTTCTTTTATTTCTTTCAGTGAAACAAACTGTTTGGCTGCATCTTCCTGTATTTCTTTACAGATGACCATAATCTGTTTTATTATATCTTCCCCTAATTCTTCACCTTTTCCGGTTGGGGGTGTCGGCTGAATGCTCTGAGATCAGACCACTGTGTTTCCCTCTCTGTGGGTTTGCACCTGACAGTGAAACGCAGTCTCTGATGCCCTGGGGCCCTGGGGCCCACAGTTCTATCTGAGGTGGCGAATCAGGCGTGCAGGCAGGGCTCTGTGCAGGCGCCTGGGTCCCCGGCTCTGGCTCTGGGCTGGCTCCTCTGTGCAGGCGCCTGGGTCCCCGGCTCTGGCTCTGGGCTGGCTCCTGGGGCGCCCGTGGAACCCGAGTCTTTTCCAGGGATGTCTCAGTGACCTAAGGTCGGTCCCAGTTGTTTCCTGCTCCGTGGGGTTATCTCTCGACTGGAAAATCCAGTCTGTCATGTTCTGGGCCCAAAGTTCAGTCTGAGACAGTGACCAGATCACCCTGGCGTGTAGCTCTTGGCTGGCGACCAAGCGTCTGGCAGAACCAGGATCTCTTCCTTGGTTTAGCCGGGTGAGTTAAAGCTGATTGAATCCCCCACCGTGGGGTATCCTCTCACCTGGGAAACACAATCACTTGTGTTTTATGGCAGAGAGTTCTGACAGCTGGTCACTGTGCTGATCCTGCTGTGCTGCTGGTCAGAATGAGAGTCATCCTGGCACCGACATCTTGCCCTCCCCCACACAGTATACTTAAGAAAGGAAGAAACTACTATAAATGTATTAATGTATTTTAATGTATTACTGATTTATCTAGACTCTTCATTACTTGAAAATATAAGTAAATCAGATTCTTTGTGACTTTTAAAATATACTCTGAAAACGATTTTGTTATCACATCCTGTTTAACTCCATATTATTTTTAAACTAGATTTCCTGCAACTTCTCCATTTAAAACTCTTCCACAAAGACATATAGAAATCAGAAAAAATAACACAGATAAAGATGGTATTTTTAAATTACGAAACTTATCTCATAAAACTCCTAAGAAGCATGGATTACAGTTCTCTCAGGTAAAATGTTATTTTATTAACCAGTTGTTTGCATAGCATTACCATTTGTTCGATAATAGTGTCATTAAAAATAAGTGATGCTTTAATATTTGAAGCCAATAATGAAATCTATAAGTTAAAATCTAAAAACAAAGAAAAAAAATATGTGAATGTGTTTGGAACTTGCAGAAACAGTGTTGAATACAGTATATTACAGAATATGAGGTATTCTTGAAAAGGCTTTTTGTATTTAATATTTTTTCATTATTATTCTTCCTATTTGGTGTGTTAACCAGATTTCCACCACTGTCATAAAATACCTGAGACTCAGTCTTCATGTAGGCAAAGTTTCAGTTTATATTCTTTTTTAAAAAATTACTTTTAAAGAACACATTTGTATACAAATATACATATGTTCCATTGTAAAATGTCAACAAGCCTACACATAGTTGAACATTTCCACATTATGTAATGGTTATCTTGAGGAAGTACATAGTAAGAAAGAACATACAAGTTAATGCCTATATTAATTTTTCTAGTGTTTCCAAGGGTTGGAATTTTTTTTCCTCCTTCTACATTCTTTTTTTTAAATTTTTTATTATTATCATTTATTGTAATTTATTCAATTTGTATCCCAGCTGTGGCCCCCCCTCCCTCATCTCCTTCCAATCCCATCCTCCCTCCTTCTTCTTCCCCTATGCTCCTCTCCTAGTCTACAGATAGGTGAGGTTTTCCTCCCCTTTTATTTGAGCCTAGCCTATCAGGTCCCATCAGGACTGGTTGCATTTGTCTTCTTCTTTGGCCTGGTTAATCCCTATTACTTTTGGTTTTATAACAAGGCACTGCAATCATTACAGGAGCAGGTGTAGGAGGAAGCTACTTGTGGAAATTGGAATGTGAAAGAAAGAAAAGTGTTCTGGTTTGGGATACCAGTAGCTCCCCCAAAATCCTGCTGCCTGTGATTCAGTTCCTTTCCATGAGGTCTTGCCTCTTAAAGGTTCCACCACCTAGTAGGACCAGATTAGAGAATATTCATGATTTAAACAATAGCCCTAGAATTGTATAACTCTTCAACTTGTCTCTTTTATAATCAAATTATAAAGTACCTAGACATGAAGTTCATTTGCATGTGTTGGGAAAGCTGCAAAACTGAAAACTATGTGTCCTATTACTTTTCAGACACTTTGTATGTAACTCCACAGTAGACTTTGACTAATAAAACTACTAAACATGAAAAAAACGCCTCAATAAATAAAGTGGAGATCCATCAAGGAGGACACTCAATGTCAGCTTCAGTCCTACACACACACACACACACACACACACATACACAATCTGTGTTAAATGTGTTCAACATTCCTCTAGTTTAAATATAGACTGTAACAACACAAGGCATTTTTTTTTTCTTCAGGAAAATAAAGAAAAGATAAATCATGAAAGAATAATCAGTGAAGATCAAGAAAATGCACCTGAAAACAGAGAAATAAGCCAGGAAGATATTGAAGAAGTTTGGAGATACGTTATTATGATCTAGTAAGACAAAATTAATTTATGATAGATTCTAAACTATGTGGATTATTAATTTTATTTTTTCACCCAAATATGCACATGAATAAAACATTATTTTTTAAAGCTTAGAAATTAAATACGTATATTTTTTAGTAATTACTTTTAGTACTGATCTAGTATAGTATAAAGAGAAAAGTTTTACCTTTTTAATTAAAGTCATCACTGTAGTTTGGGATATTTATTGGATTCCTCTGAATTTTGTAAATATGCAAAAGTTGATAGTTAATATAATACTTGATTTTTATTAAGAGAAAAATAAAGTACTTTGGTAGCTTTGTTTGTTGCTCACTTTATAGTCTATATCTCTTATTTTATAAAGAAAAAAAATTGTTCATTCTCTTCTTTTTAGCCTGCGAACCATTTTAGGTGTGCCATCAATAGAGGAACTCATAAACCCAAACCAAATAATTCCTCAGTATATAATGTACAACATGGCCAATGCAAGTAAACATGGTGTGGTTATATTACAAGACAAATCAGGTAGGTGTTTAGAAAAGATTTTGGAATCTTTTCAGATTTGATAACCAAAGTTGTATTTATGGAGTAATGGAAAAATCTAGATATAGAAAGTGGAACCCTTTCCAAGGGCACATTCATTTATCAATAATGATGGAATTTTTTAAAGTAAATATTCATGCTATCATAAAAATTAGTTGCTAAAGTGAATTAATACATGACTTAGAAAAATGACAGTGACAATAAAATAGACAATAAAGACTATTATTATTAGCAATACTCGTGCTAAAGAGCTACAATATGTCACATATTTTGCTAAAATGTTAGTGATGAGCAAGCTGGATATTGGTGCCAACTTAAATATGTTAAGTAGGCTTCAATGTATAGTAACTTGAATTCAGACATAGTTAATTTCAGTGAAAGACACCTAAATCAGTAATAGTCATGTAACATAGCAATAGAACTAAAGTGGGGCTAAAGAGAAGTAGTAGAGTAGATAAAGATGAAATTTAATTTATATCTAAACAACTCTCTCCTAGATAATTAATTTTTGATTTTGGGTAGTTACTTGTTTGAGTTTGACTCATATACAGAGTCAAACTCAAGATCTTTATAACTTTTTCAAATATTTGTATTTTAAAATATTTATTTGTGCTGGACCAGTAGATGCCCTTGGTGCTATGCCAGGTATAAAGTTTAAAAAAAAAGTTATATCATGAAAACTTCTTGGCTTAATATACATTTTTGGCATTTATTTTTTAATCTAGAGGATCTTCCACACTGGGTATTGTCTGCTATGAAGTGCCTAGCAAACTGTAAGTTAAACCACAAGTGTGTGGTGTGTGTTTGTGTGATATTGTTAGTGTTTAACAAGAATGGAGAAAATATTTAAAATTATGAGTCAAATGATAGTCAATGAGTAGAATTGATTATAAGCTCTTTATTTTCTATGCAAAAAGTGATTTTGTAAATAGAATGTGTCATTAATGGCTCAATTCAAATAAATCATAGACTAAGAGACATATAAGATTAATTGCCACAGTGAGGCCCAAAGGCTTAAAAATTCCAGCTTAGAAGAAAAATAGCATATGAGTGGAAAAGTTTATATCAGAAATGAATTTGCATAAAGCCCAGGCCCATCCTTCTCATGGTAGATTACTTCATAGAATGTATTAATAGAAAAAAACTATGCTACTAATCTACAAGCCAGTTTTTAGCATTTTATTGCTCAAACTTTTTCTTGGTAATCAGTGATAGAGGCTTGCATCATAAGCCTCTAGCTCCAGTACAAAACTCTTACTGCTTTCAAAATAATTTTTTAAATTTGCCAAGGTATATGCTTTTAAGTTATCAAAAGTTAAAATGTATTTTAAGAAGGAAGGAAGGGAGGACCTCCCCTATCAGTGGACTTGGGGAGGGGCATGCATGAAGAAGGGGGAGGGAGGGTGGGATCGGGAGAGGAGGAAGGAGGGGCTTATGGGGGGGATACAAAGTGAATAAAGTGTAATTAATAAAATAAAAAAATACATCTAGTGATAGGTGTCACTTGCCAGTTATAAAATTAATATTCTTGAAGTTTTAATGGGATTTTGTAAATGTTGAAGATCATATTCTTTATTTCATATGAAAAGACATGGAGATAACCTAGAACCCCTGCACAGATGTAGCCCATGATAATTCAGTCTCGAGGTGGGTTTCATAGTAATGGGAACAGGGACTGTCTCTGACAAGAGCTTAGTGGCTGGCTTTTTGATCACCTCCCTCTGATGGGGGAGTGGCCTTATCAGGCCACAGAGGAAGACAATGCAGCCACTCCTGATGAGACTAGGATCAGAAGGAAAGAAAAGAAGACCTCCCCACCAGTGGACTTGGGGAGGGGCATGCGTGGAGAAGGGGGAGGAAGGGATGGATTGGGAGGGGAAGAGGGAGGGAACTACAGGGGGGATACAAAGTAAATAAAATGTAATTAATTTCTAAAAATCCATTATAAAATACATTGCAGAAACATTTTATTCATGGAATTAAATTGAAGAGCATGAATTTAAGCATAGACCTTTTCTTTTGTCACTGCTCAACTGCCTTCCTCTCCTATAATTCATGGTTAACAACACAGATAAGCATGCTCACAGCTATTTATCTGTCTATCTTTAGGAATTTGTATTTTCCTTTCCTTCCCAGTTTATATTCTACCTAAATAATAACAGTTATTTAACTTAACTAGATTTCAGTTACTGACAGTGTATTTAAATAGAGCGTTTAACAGTGGTTCTCAACCTGTGCGGTGTGATCTCTATCCCCAGAACTATTTACATTACAATTCATAACAGTTAATGAAATTATAGTCATGAAGTAGCAACAAAATAATTTTGTGGTTGGGTGTCACCACAACATGAGGAACAGCATTAAAAGGTCACAGCACTAATTAGGTTGAGAACCACTGGTCTATAGGAAAATTAATCTTACAAATTAGTCTTAAGAATATTATTCACAACTTTTTTTCCCAGAGTTAAAAATCAAGATTCTCAGAAACTTCTGTTAATACAAAGAACCTAGAACTCAAACCTAAATTATCTATCTATAAATTCTATGTTTTTGTTTCTAAACAACAAAAAAATAAAACTTAATTTGGTTCAGGAAAAAGGAGGGTTGATAATAAACCATGTCCCTAAAGATTTTTATAAGGAAGAGTCCCAAGTCATAGTTTAGAGATCACTAAATTAGAGACCCCAGAGCAAATATTTCTAAGGGAGTAAATTCCTAACTTCTTTCCCCTTATGGATTCTAGCCTATGTACAAAACTTTTTTTTTATAGGTCAACAATGATTAATAATCACAATTATTTCAATATTATTATTAAGTCTAAAAAGTAACAATGGCAAAATATTAAAATCATTAAGAATTTTTGGAGGTGGGATGTTTGAGACAGAGTTTCTCTGTGTAGTCTTGGCTATTCTGGACTCACTTTGTAGCCCAGACTGGCCTCAAATTCACAGAGATTCACCTGCCTCTGCCTCTGTGAGTGCTAAGATCACAGGCGTGTGCCATACCTGGCTCATTAAGAACTTTCAAAGAAAGTAAAATTTATTTATAAAAGTATTGACATACAAAGGATAGTTTAGAAGAATTATTTGTATCATTCAAGTATTTTTGTCTTCACAAAATAAATTGCAACAAAATCTCACTAAAATAATTGATGCTTTTAAAATGTACCATAAATTTTACCTTATGTATGGTTTTTCATATATTAAAATAATTAAAATAAAAGATTGCCTGTACTCTGCCAAAAGTTTGGCTATGAATCTCAGTATCTGCTTCCATACCCTGCTAAGTAGAATCTTTCAGAGACCCTGTTTTCTCCCTCTTTTGATGTCTGTCCTGTTTGCCTTTCTGAATGAGGATTGATCATCTTACCAGGGTCCTCCTTCTTGCTTAGCTTCTTTAGGTGTACAGATTTTAGTATGTTTATCCTATAATGTATGTCTAATATCCACTTATAAGTGAGTATATACCATGTGTGTTTTTCTGTTTCTGGGCTGCCTCCCTCAGGATGATCTTTTCTAGTTCCCACCATTTGCCTATATATTTCATGATTTCCTTGTTTTTAATTGCTAAGTAGTATTCCATTGTGTAAATGTACCACAATTTATGTATCCATTCCTCAATCGAGGGACAGATTGAGTTCATTCTAGATTCTGACTATTATGAATAAAGCTGCTAGGAACATAGTTGGGCAAATGTCCTTGTTATATACTTGAGCATATTTTAGGAGTTTATGAAAGAATCTTATGAAACCTTATCAAACAATCTTATGAAACAAGTGATGATAAAAGACTTGGAAGGGACAGGAGGTCTACTAGGAGAACAACAGAGCCAAAAAAAACTGGGCACAGGGGTCTTTTCTGAGACTGATACTCCAACCAAGGACCATTCATGGAAATGACCTAGAACCCTTGCATAGATGTAACCCATGACAGCTCAGTATCCAAGTGGGTACCCTAGTTAAGGGGAACAGGGACCATCTCTGACATGAACTCAGTGGCTGGCTCTTTGGTCACCCTGCCCCCCACCCTCAGGGGGATGCAGCCTTACCTGGCCACAGAGGAAACAATGCTGAGACCTGATAGGCTAGGGTCAGATGGAAGGGGAGGAAGACCTCCCCTATCAGTGGACTGGGGGAGGGATGTGGGAGGAGAAGAGGGAGGGGCTACAGCTGAGATACAAAGTGAATAAATTTTAATAAATTAAATAAATTAATTAAATGTTAAAAAATATATATTTAAAAATCCTAGCCAGAAGCTGCTTACAGTGAAAAAGTCAGATGTGGTGCTGGAGAGATGGCTCAGAGGTTAACAGCAGTGTCTGTTCCTCTAAAAGACCCAGTTTAAAAATTTCCAACACCCATATAGTAGCTTACAGCTGTCTGTAACTCCAATTCCGAGGATCCATGGCACCAGGCGTGCCCATGGTTCATATATACATACATATATATATATATATATATATATACATATATATATATATGTATGTATGTATATGCATGAAGGCAAAATACTCATACACATAAAATAAATATATCTTTAAAAAGAAAGAGAAATTAATTGATGAGTTTTATATGTTGTAACATTGATTATTGTTAACTACAGCTCCCTCATGAAGTATAAGTTTAAATTTATATGTACTTTTAATTGTATTTAAATTGAAATATATTTGCACATTTCTTTTGCCTTCTGCTTCTTAGGGCCACGAAGTAATGACACCAATAATCTAACTTATGTTGGATTTGAACGTGATGTATTCAAAACAGTTGCAGATTATTTTCTAGATCTTCCTGAACCTCTTCTTACATTTGAATATTATGAATTATTTGTTAATATTCTGGGTATGTATTTTACTTATATTTAAATGTATTTATTAAAGTATTTAAGTTTTCTTAAAGGTCTAAAACATGGTAAATATGAATGTGGTAGGCTACAAATTATTTCAAAATTTAATAATAGTTTGTCTATACCAGTTCAAATAGTTCAAATACGCTTTAACACCACTTGCCTTAAAATCAGCTGCTATGTAGTTCTATGTTGTTCTGACGCAGCTTCCTAGAGTTAGCCCTGTTCCTACAGGAGAAAAATTCAGATCCATAAGAGTACTCTTACTTCTGGTGCTGGCAACAAATAAATTCTCTTTGCTCCTTATACTTATGCTTAGCCAACTACCATTTAAAAGGTTTGTTTTTATTCCTCTATAATTTAGTAATTCACTCACGAAACTCTGGAAAGTAATTATGCTTGTTAATTTGTTTTAAAAAGGATAGAATTCAGGAACAAAGAGAAGAGATGCACATGGACGAGAGTGGGGGTGACACAGAGCGTCTATCTCTCTCAGGAAAGACACCCTGAAAATATTTGTATTCATCAACCCAAAGCTACCTTAGCTTCATTGTTTTAGAACTTTAAGCACATTTTATTAAGTAGGTATGACTGTGTGCTGATTAAGGTTTTTTTTTGTTTTTTGCTATCTTTTTTTTTTAAATCAATCTCCATCTCCCTTCTCTTCCCAAGAGGTTGTAGGCAATGCAGATATATGGCTAGCCATGAGCTACATTAGCACAAACTCATGTATATTGTAATAACACCTTTAAATGACAAGACTGATCACTCAGGAAAATCCAAGGATTTTAGGAGTTCTATGCTAATAACAAAGAATAGAGACCAAATATAGGTATAGTTGTCAATGATCTTCATGTTCTATTTTTGCCTAGACTCTAGACTCAACCAATTTACAATCAAAAATATTTTGCTTTTAATACAGAACTTTCAGGATGTTTTGTTTTGTTTTTCTCATTATTCTCTAAACAATAAATATATACATAGTGGTTAACCTGTTTTATTTATATGAGTAATCGAGAGATTATTTTAAATAAATGCATAGGTTAAGTGTATGTGCATGGTACACCATTTTATATGAGACTTAAATTTGCATATTTTGTCCATGGGCATCCCTGGAACCAGTCTTCCCATAAACACCAAGATGATTCTGGAGTTGGGGAGGCTCCCCTTACCTGAGGAATAGGGGAGATAGGATTGGGGAACAGGGAGGGAGGGTAGGACTGGGAGGAGAGGAGGGAAGGAGCTAAGATCAGGATGATAGATAGATAGATAGATAGATAGATAGATAGATAGATAGATAGATAGATAGATAGATAGATAGATAGATAGATAGATTGATAGATAATGCAATCCTTCTAATTAGGTCACTAAATTAATTTTAAATGATTTATGTCACAAATGGAAATACCTCTAGTCAGTCTCGCATGTTTATAACTGAATATTGCATGTGTTCTATTGAAGTGGCTTCCAAATTAAGCAACTCTACTAACAGTGTATATTATAGTAATGCTTTATTTTTTTTTATCTTTACTTTGTTTTTATTTTACTTTTGTCCACTGTCTTGCAGTTGCATCTTAATTTTTGTTTTATTTTCTGGTAGTTGTTTGTGGCTACATCAAAATTTCAGATAGAACAAGTGGGATACATAAAATCCAGGATGATCCATGGTCTTCAAAAATCCATCATTTAAGCAATCTGAATTCCTTCAAATCAACTGAGTGTCTACTTTTCAGCCTGCTTTACAAAGACAAAAGCAGTGAAGAATTGGATTCTACTGAGAGACTACAAAGAATTGATCAAGGATTTCAAGAAAGATGTGCCAAGAAAATGCAGCTAGTTAATTTAAGAAACAGAAGAGCTAGTGCTAATGACATAATGGGAGGAAGCTGTCATAATTTAATAAACTTAAGTAATACGAATGCCCTGTCCTCTAACATCAAACCAAGGTGCTCCTCTTTGGAAGGAATTATAGATATGCCAAGTAAAAAGAAGACCAGTATCTTCTACCAGTCTGTTCCGAACATAGAAGAACAAAATAGTAAGCAATCTTTAGTGTCAATGCCCAAACATAAATCCCTATTTAATCTTTACTCAGAGGAAAATATTCAGCAGCCACACTGTACTGGAACCTCTGCTTTGACTGTTCAAGATCAAGAAGAATTATGTAATGGAAAATACAACTCAAAACAGCTTTGTAGATCTCAGAGTTTGCTTTTAAAAAGTAGTACAAGAAAGAATAGTAATATAAATAAACCAGTGGCTGAAATTATAATAAAACCAAATGTTGGACAAGGCAGTACAAGTGTGCAAAGTGAGCTCAGAGAGTCTAGTACCACAATCAATAAAAGACTGTGCAAAAGTACAATAGAACTTTCAGAAAATTCTTTATCTCCAGCTGCTTCTGTTTTGACTGGCACACAAAGTAAGACTTTTCAGTGCTTGCAATGTTGACTTTTAATTTTTACTAACTCTGTTTTATATTCCTGGCTTTTATTCTTTGAAATTGCTTTTTTTTTTTTATCTTGAAAAGAAATTAATATAAAAGACTTTGGTCACGGTATAACCAACATTTATTCTACCCTACCTAAAGCACTTAATTTCTTTTCCTTTAATTTCACTTACTCTGTGTCACTTTATTTATAAGTGAAGTATTTTAATACTTAGAAATAGGTTGCAAAACAATAGTGATTACTATACTTTAAAGGAATATAGAAATTTGTAAATATAGTTAAAAGAAAAATACTAAGATATTATATTACCTTCATTATATAACTGTATTCTATTCATTTGAAACCTATTGTCACTGATGATTTTTGGGGGGTGGGGGTGACTTTGCCTTTTAGGTTTGCTGCAACCTCATTTAGAGAGAGTTGCCATCAATGCTCTTCAGTTATGTTGTTTGTTACTTCCCCCACCAAATCGTAGAAAGCTTCAACTCTTAATGCGCATGATTTCTCGAATTAGTCAAAATGTTGATATGCCCAAACTTCATGAAGAAATAGGTACAAGATCATTGGTAAGTTGATTTTTTAATATATTTTTTATTAATTTCTCAAAAATTTTATATATGTATGCAATGTATTTTGACCATTTTTACCCCATATTTCTCTCCCTCTTCTCTCAACTTCATATCCTCATTTTTAAATAACTCATTGAGCCCAATTAATGTTTCTCATATCGTATGTACATGGATATAGGGCCATTCACTGGAGCATCATTATCTCAGCTAGGTCCACACTCCTAAACAAAACTGATCTCCCTGCCCTAATAGTCATCGGCTGTCAGTAGCTCCTTTGCTATGGATAGGTCTTGTAAGTCCCTCCACCTCCATTCTGGAATGTTGATTGATTTGATCTCATGCAGGTCTTGTACAGGCAACAATTGCTGTGAGTTCATGAGTTAATTAGTACTATCATATCCAAAAGACCCTTCTTTATTCAAGTTCTCCCTGACCTCATGAAGTTCTCTCTCGCTCTGTGTGTGTGTGTGTGTGTGTGTGTGTGTCTGTTTGTGTCTGGGGGTGTTTCTTAAATGGAAAGAGTAAGCCCTGGTTTATCAATTAAAAGAAGACCAAGATATTTGATAGTACTATTTAAGTGATATTTTTATCTTTTAATGCTTGAGTTAGAAAAGCTTTCAATAATAAAATAAAAATATTTTTTACATCACTTTAAAGAAAACAAAGAATCTCCAGAAAAGCAAAGCCATGTATACAAAGCACAGAATGGAGTTTAGTAATTCATATTGGTAGACTATTCTACCAAGATTAAGATCGTAGTTTTTACTTGTTTGTATGATTGGTCAGTTCATTATTGTTTTATTTTATGCCCAGTATTTGGGTTAAAAAGTTGGTTAAACTTTAAAACAAAGCCAAAACAGCCTTAAAAACTTGACCTTCTCTAGGAGAAAATACTTTTAACACAAATTCTTTGTTCTTAGGCTCTGATATTTTCACCTTTTGTTAATCTTAGAAACTTTGTTTTCTTGTCCATTTTGTATACATCACAGTGATTGATCTGCTCAGTCAGACCATATTATGTTACCTTGTATCATCAGTTCTGTCTGATATGGGAGGGAAGTAGATTTGCAGGGACTATTAAAATCTAAGGGTACTACAACTAGGAGGTAGAGAATGAGTAAACAATCAATGTAAAATCTGTAAAAGTATTTCAAAGACTATGGCAGCAGGGAAACTGTATCATTGTGCACATGAAGTTATGAAAACAAAACAACAAAAGTGTTGCCAAGCAATTCCAGATTCAGGTTCCTTGGAGAATGAGAACAGAGGGATTTATGTGCAGATATTAATGGGAAATGAATCTTTAAACTTCACTTTTTCATTGTTTCTCTGAGGACTTCCCCTATCAATGGACTGGGGGAGGGGTGTGGGAGGAGAAGACAGAAGAAAGGTAGGACTAGGAGGGGATGAGGGAGGAGCTACTGTGGGATATAAAGTGAATAAATTTTAATACATAAAAAATAAAAAGAATTGTCACTTTTTAGACTCCAACTTAAGTCTATAAAATGTTCTCATATTAAGCTTGGGTACTCCACTCAACTGTTATGCTCATCACTGTGGAGAGTTCACTAACAATGAAAGAATAAATAAAAAAAAATTCTTGAATAATTAAAATATTATTGAAAAGCATAAGAATTTATTAAGGAATAGTATATCAAAAGGTGATAATTTTAGATTTTTTTACTTTTGGTTTTAAAGTTTTTAGAGCATCCAAATAAAATTTATCCAACAGAATTTTGGAAATATGAGCCTTATTAAGAAAAATCAAGGCAGAAGGTAGTTTTTTTTTATTTTTTTTTTAGTCAGCCACACTGAGATAATATTTATAAATGTAAAACGGTTTCTAAGAAGAAAAAATGAATATAGACAAGAAGCATTGAACTGAGCCTTGGAACTAAAAGGGAATATTTCAAGTTAGTACAGTCATCATCTATAATGTAGAGGTACTTAAAATAGAATTTAAATATTATAATTATTGTGTGTTATAGATATAGATTATATAGCTATGAGAGTAATGATTTTTGAGGCAAAAATCTTTTTGAGAGTTTCAAAATCCTTATGAAAGAAATGGAGACGTATACATTAAGTCACTGTCTCAATGGCTACTAATTGTCATAGCTATTTTCCAGAATTTTAAATAAATAGTGCTAACTTTGCAACTTCTACTGAATATAAATTCCATATGTTATATATTCTTCTGGTTTGTGGTTTTGTGGAATTAGTTTAATGTGATAAGTCCTTGTCCTCTAACAAGTTTTGCCTTAAGGTTTCTATCTCTATATTAATAGGACATGTGATATTAATAAAATTATAACAAAATGAAAAACACCTGTTATACATAATCCTTTGGAACTCTGTTACCAAACTACATAACAATGTAATGTAATGTAATGTAATGTAATGTAATGTAATGTAATGTAATACAATTTTTATTGTCTTTCTAACTATAATAAATTATTTTTATGTGTCCAACACTGAAGGCTGCTTATCTCCATACATCATGTAATGCAAAGTAGAAATTATTGACATTGTTATTTTTATGAAAACTTAGGTTCTTAAGTTGCCATCTTTTTGTAGATGATACATACTTTTTCTCGATGTGTGCTGTGTTGTACAGAAGAAGAGGATCTTGATGAGCTTCTGGCTTCAAGACTGGTTTCTTTCCTAATGGATCATCATCAGGAAATTCTTCAAGTACCCACTTATTTACAGAGTGCGGTGGAGAAACATCTTGACTACATTAGAAAGGGCCATGTAGGTATTTTGAGCCTTAAAAATCTCTGTTCTTTGCAAGTAACAGATTCGTCTCAAAGTAACCCCATAAAAAATGGACACTTGTTAGTTCATATAAGCAAGTCAGGAATATATCTAGCCTGGAGACTCAAAAGCACTGGGACTTTTCTTGGCCTTTCCTTTCTTGCAGCCCTCTGTTAACAAATGCTTTCTCTACATTATGAGGAATATGATTATTAAATTTCTTGTATACAACACTGAGTTTCAAATCCAATGGGGAAAAAAAATCCCTCTGCATGCAGTTAGAAAAAAACTGTGATATGGAGATGCATATGCTCATTAATGTGGAGGCAATTAGAGCAACTTCAGGAATCTTCCTCTATTACTCTCTAACTTGACTTTGAAATAGGGTTTCTCTCTGAACTTGGAGTTCATTAATTTTGCTAAACAAAACTTCAAGAATCTACCGTCAGCTTTGGTGTTACAGAAGCATGCCACTTGGTCAAGTGTTTATGTTGGTGCTGGGGACATCTCTCCAGTCCCTATATATGGGTTGTCTTATGCCAAGTTAAATGTCTATCCTTTGAAAATCTGATGGTAAATAGGTTGGAAAGAGTCTTATTCTGATATATTCTATATAGTTAAAGCAGAATTGGTTCTAAAAGTAAAAAGAAGAGGATTAGAATAAGTAGAATGGAAAAAAAAGTTGTTAGGAAAAAAACAAAACAAAAACACTAAGCAACAAGTATCCACCATATTCAGACACTGGCTAACCAGCACATTTTGTTTGTGCTTTTTCTCATATATACTATTGTAATATTGCACTGGCTTACTATAAATATAACTCTATCTTAAACTCTATTGTCAGTAGTATATGGGGTCTGCTAGTGCTCTGGTTCTCAAAAATATTGGATCAATAGTTCATTATTAAGGCAAAATATCGTTATTTTAAACTGAATTAAAGCATTTAGATTATTATGTTTTATACTTCAAATAATAAAATCTGTGGTTCAAATGAGAATAGCTATCTTTAATGATATAATATACATTTTCTCTTACAACCTTTTATTTTAAAACTGAGGAAACAGACCAGGAGAAGTTAATTCAGGGTATAAAATAGATTGTGGAGCTTGGATTTAGATCCTGCTCACTTAAGTCTAATGTATAATATTCAGTTTTCTTATCACACTGGATGTTTGATTGATGCCAAAATGACAGATACCAGATTCTACCAAAAGTATTCTATATAGGAAAAATATGACCAGAATGTACAGATTTTCACTGTCTGGTTTTGTTCACTGATAGGTTAAAAATCATGGAGATGGACTAGTTGTTCCTTTGACAACATATTCTTACTGTAAGCAGATTAGTACTAAGGAATTTGATGAACAGAAAATTTCAACTTCTCAAGCTGCAATTACAGAACTTTTAGAGAATATTATTAGAAGTAAAAGTTTGCCTCTAAAGGAGAAAAGAAGAAAGCTGAGACAGGTGCGAAAATGTACAACTTCTCTATCTTACAAATGTTTTCCAGTGTTTAATCAATGATTGCTAAAATTTGGAATAAAATTTTAACTTTTAGATATATAGAATATATATATAAATATATAGATATAAATAAATTATGTATAAATATATATAATTCTTCATTATATACTTAAAGTATGTGAATGAATATCTGTTTGGTTTTATTCTATCTTATTTTTAAAATAATTACAGTATTATTAATTAATTCTCTCTTATGTTACTGGTATTTTGTATAATTATATCTTGAATTAGCTCAGGAAAGTATAAGTAAAATCCGGATTATAATACCTATTTCTTAATGACTCATCCCTAATACTGTTTAGAACTTTCAGCTCTAAAGCAAGAGGCAATAGCCATATGATTCTAGAAAGAATAGAGCCTGAGAAACTCAAGAAAGGACTACAAACTGCACCAAATCCATGTGGCCTTCATTGGCATTACCAATGAGAAAGATTTGGGTTTAGGGTGAGATTGACAGAAGAGCATCATAAGGTTTTAACACTGAAAGGGGTCTGAAAGATCCTACAGATCCCCTTCACAAATTCAGAGAAAAGCAAGAGTCAGGTGAAAGAATACTTGGCTAGCTTCATGTAGAGAACTAATATTCAAGAACTTCTAATTCTTCCCCTCGTTTTTAAGTTTCAGAAGGAATACCCCTTGATATATCAGAAAAGATTTCCAACCGCTGAAAGTGAAGCAGCACTTTTTGATGACAAACCTACAATCAAGCAACCAATACTGAATTTCAGAAACCCAAAGCTTCACAGTCTGCGATACTAACTTAAAAACTTGAGCAATTATTTGTAATAGCCAGAACCTGGAAACAACCCAGATGTCCATCAACAGAGGAATGGATACAGAAATTGTGGTATTTTTACACAATGGAATACTACTCAGCAATCAAAAACGAGGAAATCATGAAATTTGCAGGCAAATGGTGGGATCTAGAAAAGATGTATGGATATAACCTAGAACCTCTGCGTGGATGAAGCCCATGGTAGCTCAGTAACCAACTGGTTTCCCATAGTAAGCGATTATTTCTGACAGGAATTCAATGGCAGGCTCTTTGACCTCCCCATCCCCCAAGGGAGGAGCAGTCCTGCTAGGCCACAGAGAAGGACTTTGTAGCCAGTTCTGAAGATACCTGATAAAACAGGATCAAATGAAAGGGGAGGAAGTCCTCCCCAATCAGTGGTCTTGAAAAGGGGCAGGGAGGAGATGAGGGAGGGAGGGAGGGTTTAGGAGGGAATGAGGGAACAGATACAGCTGGGATACAGAGTTAATAAAATGTAACTAATAATAAAAAAAGTAAAATTAAAAAAAAAACTTGAGCAAATGAAGCAAGACATGAGAACATTTCTACTCAAAAGGAAGTCTGTTAAGATTATAGTTCCCCCCTAAAACAACCTTATAAAAGGAGATGAGAAAATAGTCTTTTTATCTGTGTGAGGCTGCTAAAGCTACTGGATCTCAGCTAAGAATACCTAACAAAAGACGATACCAAATATTTTAATAAAAAACAATATTTTTAATATAATGATCTAGTAAGGCTATCAATATCATCCAGATAAAATTGTACTTTTTTTAAGGAAGAAAACATGCCTTTATCTTCATGGATATTAGCTAAAGAACTGGTTGTTTAGGATTGCTTCTTTATTTTTAATTATCAGAACGTGAAGGATATTGTACTCTTATATAATCTCTTTATACTTATGATTTATTTTAAAATGTATAAACACAGTCTTTGTGGCTTGGCTTTTGTTTGTTGGGGAAGAAGGGGGTTAGTTTTTGAGATAAAGTCTCACTGTGTACCCCATTCTGACCTCAGACTCATATTCCTCTTGCCTTATACTCCTTAGAGTTTGAATCCATGTCTATTTTGGCTGTATTTGCTTTTTCTGGACATAAGAATTTATACCCAAATTTCTGGGTATAAAGTAGAGCTAGACTGAATGCATGTTTTAAAAGATAATGTATGAAATACTCTTTTAAAACCACAGAAATGCATAGGTTTCTTCAGATCAAATTATATCTGATTACAGTTTTGATACTAGAATTGCCACACCATTCCTAACCCCTCTATTAATTAGTACCATATTATAACCTACTATCCCCACACTGTACAGTGATTGGTATTGCAATTAGTTGTGGAAATTATATGGGATTCCCAGGAACTGTCTTTGTATCTTTTCTGTCTTTGTATTCTCATCTATAAAATGTGAACATCTTGTATGGCAGATTCCTTGGAATTTAAACATTACCTCTAGGAGAGAAGAGGAGGCTCATGAGACTCAGGAGCTAAACAAAAGTTCATAGGTCTAGGAGAAACGAAAAGTGGAAGATTCTCCATAGAACCTCCCGAACAATACAAAAAGAAGTAAATAACTGCTGGAGAAAGACTGACTGGCTGAGTTGCAGATAGGATGAATTCTCATGTTGTCCAGCTCTCTGAAAGCTGTACTTTTAAGGTTGTAGCTTTTGTGAGTGGTGGCTCGTGTGACTGAGTTTTTTTTTGATGATGCAATGCTTTTGAGTCACTCCTGCTCCTATGGGTAACCCCTCACCGTATTCCAGTAAGTAACAAAAATAAACAAACAAACCTCACTAGTTCATCAAATTGGACTTTGGTGCAATTGTTACTTTGGTCTATCGTGGGTTTCTTTTCTGAAGACGAGTAGAATATGTTCCTCCCCATGGAAAGTATATCACACAACAAAACATTTCATACATAATCGTAACTTTTAAAGAGGCAATAGAGGGTGGGAAGGACTGAAAAGATGGCTCGACATTTAAAAGCACTGTCTGCTATTCCTGAGGCTCCAGGTTTGTACCCCAGCACCCATAAGGGGTCTGGCAACTATCTACAACTGCAACGCTAAGATATCTGATGCCCTCTTGTGGTCTTTGTGGGCACTGCATGCACATGGTGCACAGATACTCATTTAGGCAAAACACCCAAATACATAAAGTAAAACCAAAGGAAAAAAATTAAAAAACGGTGGGTTTGTGTCAGGGTACCATTAAAGTAACAAATACATAAAATAATTACAGTAGAACCTTCATTCCATGACCAATTGGACCCTATTGCTTTTCAGCCATTGGTAAGGCAAAATATAGCTGGAGCACATGACAGGGTAAAACCCCTCAGCTTCTGGCCAGAGAGCAAAAGAAGAAGCGAGGATCTCTCTATCACTTTCAAGTGATGATCTGAAGATTCCACCACCACCACCACCACAAGACCTCACTTTTTAGTATTCCCACAACTTCCCCATAGGACCATGTTTTCAGTAAGTTAAACACACACGAGAGACCATTTAAGCTCTATGTTCTCTCTCTTACTGTTAATTCTTAACAGTATAAGAAACAAAATGTCAAATGTCTAATCCAAAAAAAAAGAAAAGAAAACATAAGAAACAAATTATAACAAGCATGAAAATTAATCAAAAGAGACACACTTAGAAATGAATTAGATAATGGAATTATTAGAAAAACAAATTTTAGCAGTTATTATAAACATACACTTACTCGAAAAGAAACTAAAATATAGTAATAGAGAAGATATAAAACAAATATCCAAGTACACATTCTATAGATAAAACATACAATATGCTCAATGTGTAGAATGAGAGTAAAAGCAAATTAGAAAATGCAGAAGAAAAAAAAGGTTAAATTTGAATTTGTACAGTTGAATTTGAAATCAACTGTACAAAACAGAGGAAAGCAAAACAAGCCAAAATCTCAGTAAGCTTTGTAAAAGATGTGAAGCTGATTAATGAATGTAGTTTGACACTAAGAAGAAGAGAACAAAAAGGTCACAGAAGTATTGTGCAAAATTATAGTTTTTTTTTTTAAATAAAGGACAGAAACCCACAAACTCAGATAACCTCAAACAAAACAACCATACCACAGTACCTAAAGTCAAATCAAGGAAAAAAAATCATGAAAGTTTTCACATGAAAACATGAAGAGAAAAGTTAATGCAATAGGCTTGTCAAAGCTCAGCAATCTGTATTCTGTGTAGAGAAACCTAAACTTCATTGAAAATGTTTGAAATTGCAATATGCAAAATCAACATAAAAATACTTTTGTATATTAACTTACATGCTGAATTTCTTTTAAAGAGATACCATTCACAATATACATACACAGTAAATAAATTAGCTGTGAATCAATTTTAACCAAGAAATATCTCTATGATGAAAAAAAAATGATGAGAGAAATTATGGAGCTCATAACAAATAGAAATACACCCATGCTTACAAGTGGAAAGAATTGATGTTGATAATATCTATACTGTGCAAAGCCGTTTGCCGATTCAGTAGAGTTTCCATCAAAATACCGATGGTGTATTTTTAGAAAAAAAAAAAAACATAAAAAATTATATGTAACCATAAAGTTCCTAAAATGATAATAGTAATCCTGAGGTGAAGAAAAAAAAATGAGAGATCCAAAACTAGGTTTCAAAACACATAATAATTAGTCATCAGGAAAATGCAAAACAAAAAGATTCTGAGATTCCATCTTACACCCATCAGAATGGCTAAGAATGAAAACTCAAGTGACAGCAAATGTTGGTGAGGATGTGGAGAAAGGGGAACCCTCTTCCATTGCTGGTGGGATTGCAAACTTGTACAACCACTTTGGAAATCAATCCGGAGCTTTCTCAGAAAATTGGGAATAATGCTACCTCAAGGTCCAGCTTTACGACTCAATATACACAAAAGCTGCCCCACAATACAAGGACATTGCTCAACTATGTTCATAGAATCATTATAGTAGTCAGAATCTGGGAACAACCAACATGTCCTTCAATTGAAGAATGAATATAGAAATTGTACATTTACACAATGGAATAATGCTCAACTATTAAAGATGAAATCATGAAATTTGCAGGCAAATGGATGGAACTAGAAAAGATCATCCTGAGTGAGGTATCCCAGAACCAGGAAGACACAGTTGGTATATACTAATTTATAAGCAGATATTAACCATAAAATACAAGATAACCATACTACAATCCACAGACCTGAAGAAGCTAAATAACAAGGAGGACTCTAGAGAAGATGCTTAATTCTCATTCAGAAGAGCAAATACAATAGACTTCAGAAGTGGTTGAAGAGAGAGAATAGGGCAGGAGGTTACCATAGATGTCCTCTGAAAGACTCAGCAGGGGATCTAAACAGATGCCAAGACTCACAGCCAAACTTTGGGCAAGGCACAGAGAGTCCTAGAAAAGAGTAAGGAATTAAAAGACCCAGAGGGGACAGGAGCTCCAACAGACCCAATAAATCTGGGCCCAGGGGCCCTTGCAGAGACTGATGCAACAAGGACCATGCATGGAAAGGACTTAGCCCCCCTGTTTAGATCACTTCTGCCTGGCAGGCAACCTTGCCAACTCACAGAGAAAGAGGATCCAGGCAGTCCTGATGAGACTTGATAGGCTAGGGTCAAATAGTAGGGGAGGAGGACTCCCCTTCTCAGTGGACTAGAAAAAGGGAATAGGGGGAAAGAAGGAGGGAGGGTGGGACTGGGAGGAGATGAGAGAGGGGCCTACAATCAGGATATAATGTGAATAAATTATATACATATATTTATATATATTTCAACCTAAATGGAAAATCCACAAAACTGTGAAACTGATATACAAAACAGGAAAAAAAAATGTGACTATGTTGGGCCTCTTATCTAAAACTTTTTGCCTACCCCAACATATTTCTGACCACAGTTTCTGTTCCATTCACTCATTCTAATCCTCCACCCCACCTCCCCTCTTCTCCAGATCCACTCCTCTATTTCCCTTCATCAAAGAGTAGGCCTCCCAGGGATATCAACTGAACACAGCATAACAAGATACAATAAGACTCATATCAAGGCTGGATGAGGCAACCCAGAAGAAGGAAAAGGGTTCCAAAAGTAGGCAAAAGAGTCAGAGACACACACAAGTCCCACTGTTAGGCATTCCACAAGAACACCAAACTAGAGGCTGGAGAGATGGCTCAGCAGTTAACAGCACTGGCAGCACTTCCCAAGGTCCTGAGTTCAATTCCCAGCAACCACATGGTGGCTCACAGCCATCTATACTGGGGTCTAATGCCATCTTCTGGCATGCAGGTGTACATGCAGAGCACTCATACATAAAATAAATAGTA